GAATATGGACTGACTACAAGAACCTTCCCGAAGTCCAGGATCTTGTCCACCGTGCAGCAGCTTTGCCACTTCTTCCACTACACCAAGTTGAAGATTACTGGCTACATGCCCTAGAAGATGCCCCACAGAGAGAAGACTGCCTGAAACTCGCAGAGAGTGAAGACAGCACATTCCAACATCTACAAGATAATCGAGGAATTCCAGCGACTTCAAGCAACTACCGAGGTGAAGATGATTCAATATGCAGCAGGCGGACAGAGACGAAAGAAAGCAAGGAAGTACAGAGAAGTAGAAGAATGTCTAGCAAACCTAAAGACAGATCTATTGAATGGGACCAAAGACTTCATCCAGTGTGGAGACCCAGCATCCAACATTCTGAAACTCGGTGACTAGTTAAACAGTGTTGTGACATTTATATTGCTTAATTGGAATTTGAATGTTAGGACTATTCTCATAGCATATCGCAGCAGTGGATTTTTTTAACATTAGTGCTTGATTTAAATGATTGGTATGATAAGATTGATAGTGCTTAACTATAAGATTTTGTTGCATGAAATGTATACTTGTCTGTGTCAATATATATTATATATCTATAATGTTAATTATGTTTGTATTGATGACATTGCAAAAAGAATACTAGTATATAGCTAAATAAACATTATTAAATTAATTACTCGGCTTTCTTAATTTGTTTACCGTAAGGTTCCCTTTCGCCTTAGCTGACTCCTTCCTACCTGGTTTTGGCACTAAGGCGAAATGGGAATAATTTTTTACCATGAAATTGACAGCTAAGGCGAAATGGGAGTAAGCCGTTTCAGTTCGCAAGTCCGGGTTCGAATCACGTCTGCCTTGCTTGTCGAAGGTATTATAATTTAAAGGAAGACCTACGAGACGAAGGTTTCAAACCCTCCTGTAACCCCATGTATTTCAAAGTGGTAGTTGTATGCATGCTAAACGTAATACTCATTCATTATTATCATTAGCGTTGGAAATATCTTTCATCCGCAAAAATTAGAGAGTTATCAAAGATGTCAATATATCCCGAATTCCGCAATGATTTATCCTTCGCCTTTGCAATATTATACACTTGAAGTATAGGGTTGTTGGACGTCCTGTTGGTGAAGCGAAAAACCTGCTCTGTCTGTATATCCTCGTAATTCCATGAAATCGGGTTTATACTTAATTTAAAATGGATAAAATCTTATTACAACTTCCTTGTGCAGTTCAGAATTCATATCCGTATAATTCAACTCGGTTTTCCTACATAGGTAATTATAAGGAAATATCCATTGTACGCATGTTGATAAAATCGTGGAGGATTTCTCAAGTATTTAAACGATTCTCGAATCTTATTTTGAAACATAAGAAAAAAATCTAAAAAAACAAAAAATAATAATAATAAAAAAAAAAAAACCACACCCATCCACACCCACACACACATAAACACATTGATATATTTTAAGTGCAGATCTGGATTTTTTTGTTATGTTACATTACACAAAGATGTTATTAAGACTTACTAAAAAAATGTATATTACTTGTATAATAAGAACACAATTTGTTCATTCTTCTCGAAATTGCAGCTAAAATATAAAACATTTCTACATTTATATACTGATGGTTCAAAAGATAATGATAAGGTTGCTGCGGCCATGGTTACACAAGATGAAACATATGGATGCCGGCTACCGAACAACGCCTCAATATTCTCCTTGCTATTGAGACAACCATCGAGACGAAGTTATCCTTGCCCGACTTTGGATGGGTCATACATACCTTACACATTCATATATGTTGAAAGGCGAAGATAATCCTCGGTGTATAGAAGGTGACGAGCCATTCACCGTTAAACATTTTTATTGGACTGCATTGAAGTTCTGTCTACTCGAGAAATTTTTTATTACAGGTCTAAAGACCCTTTTTGGTGTTGGTCTATATAATAGACTATGGCTTACCATTCTATTTATTTTTTGTTGTTGATAATATATCCATTTAAAATTTTTAGCATTTGTGATTTACTTATTAGTGTGTTTGATGTTATTTCCGTTTTGGATCGCTGTGTGTTTTACCAGTTGATGGCCTTAATGACCTTTGATGTGTTGACGGGCCGTTAAAATATCATAATGATAAGAAGAAGAAGGCATAATGAAAAATACCCTTCCATCGTTGGGGTAAGAACTTGCGACACATCGGTCTCTAGCCTGACACTACAACGCTCGACCAAAGGGAAATTTCCACTAGCCAAGGCTAGTAAGGTGACATGTACTCTGTAAAAGACAATGAAAACCAAGGCCATGGTCGGTATATTTCGGTAGACACCGATTGTAAATTGTGGAATGGTAGTGCATCCATCGTCACGTTTTTGTTTTGATTTCAACAACAGGCACTGTGTGTTTTTTTTTAAAATTCCGCTGCCAACAGTTCAATATCAATTATTTAAAGTCAAATTTAGAAATATCATATTTACATTTTATTTACAACACAAATCCCAAGTAAAACCTTAATCCCTAAGCTGCCACCAATACTCTGCTCTAGGATTTCCCCCATCTACACAATGTAAAAATGACAAAATACCACAACAAACCAACCCTACAGGTATTTTGTTATCCTTTATCACAACTATTTCATCCTACCTCACCACTAAGTATTCCAATTACTCTTTAAAGCCCCTACTCATGTCACGTGGTTTTCTGGCTTCCGTTCTTAGTCTCTACACAAACCCGCTCTCAAAGAACCCCACGTTAATCCCCCCTTTACTGACTGCTATTCTCTCTCTCTCCTGTAGCGCCTAAGTCATCGGTACAATATGTAGGGACTGTGATCTAATTTTAGCTCGGAATAAGAGTTAGGAACATGTAGGATTCTTCATTAATCATGCCCGTAGGATAATGTAGCCTCCGTCTATATTTTTATTCCTAACAGTATATGTTGTGGTTGTATGTTAGTAAGATTTGGGATTGTCAAAAACTATTGATAATCAGGTATGACACACGAAAGACGCACTAACTATCGAGCTAAACGTAGCACGCTGGGACCTACTATAAAGATAGATATATGCACTTTGCACGTTCAGAAAGTTACACCTTAGTCAAGCAGGAAAGTATAATACAGTCAAACTCGTATAACTCGAACACCCCGTTTAATTCAGTATTTCGTCGGTCCCTGTCTGACTTTACACAAAATATTCGAACTCGTTTAAATCGAGTAGTCGGTTATCTCGAAAGTTTTTCATGGTCCCGTCGAGATCGAGATAACAAGGTTCGACTGTACAAGCAGTCTTCGGTCAGTGGATGCAACAGTACAATCATAACACTGCACGGTTTGAGACTGGGGTGACCAAGGTTTACATGGCGAATGTCGTATATGAAGCAGAAGACACTTACTTTTCTGGAGCATATGGTCTTATTCTCCATGTGAATCATCTTTTGTTCATATTTTGCCCTTGTTTTGTTGAAGTTGAGTTTGGATTATAATTATGCTGACATGTTGGTATTTTCGTGTTGTGTTTTTAAATAAACTAAGCAAACATTTATCACTCGCACTATCATGGTTGTAGGTGGAACAACCAACAAATATGTAGTAATGTTTGAGTAGCTATATAATATGTTCGCAACTGTAAAGCTCTATATGACTTCACTGTCCACACATAATTTTTGCATCATTTGAAGGGCCGGCCAATTGACCAGTCACGATTTTACACAACCAAAGTTAGGATGACGCCATCCCCTGAATTAAACATGAAAGACGTACATCTGGGGTTTCCCAACACCGTAACAAGATCCAATACTGGCCTAGACCTATACCGAGTAGTCTACATACTTATTAGATAGTAAAACATTACGCGCTATTACGTAATGTCCTGATGCACGTGACCATACACACGTGTTCATATAAATTTGATACTTATACATGTAGGCATACAGTTACAGACACACATGAGAGCAACTAAGTATAACACAGAGAAAACAAGTGGTGAATTTTAACATAAAGCTACATGTCACATACTTACGTTATTTTACGTTTATTCGTTTCCATATCTGTTAAAATTATTTTGATGTGTAACAAAGCTCCCGAACCTCAAGATCTTAGCCACATACAGGCTTGAAGATGTTAACATTGGACAAACCAGCTACACATACAGCGGGATAATTCTCACATCAAAACCAACCGTACTGGCCAACCGAAGATGGACACCACGGCTACAAGACACCAGGGACCCAGGATGTCACCCATCATGCCACAGTCATCTGGATCATACCCCCTCCCTCCCGCCCCCCTCACCCACTCTCAAGAGTGTTTTAAATGTGATAAATGGATATTCCATTGTTTCAATTGCACGCAAATTTAACATGTCAGACATAATCAGCCAGACATTTTTCATAGGTACGTTTCTCAAAGCGCCAATCTCCAGAACCTAACAAACAAACAAAACGAAGACATCAAATCAACTTTCTCATATCAAACTCAAAGACCTGATCCTGAAAATTAATCTAAAAATCCCCTGTAAAAAAATGTAAAAGAAAAGTGCATGAAATATCAGCGATTTATAAATGTTGTTGCTGTTAAGGTTGTTGTTTGTTAATATTGTTGTTTGCTGCTGAGGTTGTTGTTTGTTAATACTGTTGTCTGCTGTTAAGGTTGTTGTTTGTTAATACTGTTGTCTGCTGCTGAGGTTGTTGTTTGTTAATACTGTTGTCTGCTGCTGAGGTTGTTGTTTGTTAATACTGTTGTCTGCTGCTGAGGTTGTTGTTTGTTAATACTGTTGTCTGCTGCTGATGTTGTTGTTTGTTAATACTGTTGTTTGCTGTGAAGGTTGTTGTTTGGTTGTTAAAACATTTAATGTTTGGTTGATGTTTTGTAACATATGAAGGAGGTTTGATTATTAAAATTTATCTTTCAATTTACATAAAAATAATTTGATTTCTCACGTGAACAGATTTACCTGGGAGCCAATCAAATACCTCGTTACAAAAACTTGCTGACACACCTACAAAGTGGCGATGGGTGAAGTAGTCGTTGAGAACTTCATAAACGGGGAATTCGTACCAACAAGTTCTTACATTCCAAGTTTTGATCCGTCAACTGGAAAAGTATGGGCGAAAATTCCCGACAGCAATGAGGACGATGTAAACGTGGCGGTGACAGCAGCGCAGGCTGCCTTCAAAACGTAGGTGTGGGACATGTGGCTACTAACATGGTCGCGACGATTTACCCAAATACACCATAATACACCCAAATATTTCACAGTTATACCCAACTAAAGCCAAATCTTACCTATTTGGTCACAAATAATTTAACGCTACTGTCTTTGAGTGGTGTCAGAAGTCGTGCAGACATATGTAAATCAAAAACGAAAGCAGGCCATGCCTGCCATGCTCCGGCGACCTAGTTTTGTAACAGCGCGACGATTTACCCAAATCTTACCCAAATAAACCCAAATCTACCGAATACTGTCCACTTATCTCAGTTACGATTGTCATCACGGGAGAGAAAATGGCCCGACGATTTACAGGGACGGGCCGTAACGGGCTCTGTATGTCTGTTATATACGTTCCTGGTATTACATTTTATGACTAATAAACGATATTACTTACTTACTTAGTCTTACTTAGTCGATTCTGAATGTAGGCCTTCTTAGGCCTCTATACTCAGATCCAGATTTTGTCTCAATAAAGTATTCATATAGTCACTCCTGGTTGATGTACTGCTTTGGTGATTGTCAACATTGTACTTTCTGTCCTCTAGTTCCCAGAATTTGTCCAATCTGTTTTCAAAGGTGGTCAGTGTCGGTGATCTCACAATCTTTTCCGGTAATGCATTCCAGTTACTCACTACTCTCTGTGTGAATGAATATTTTCGAATGTCTAGTCTGCTTCTTGATTTCTCCAGTGATAGTGAGTTCCCTCGTGTGCGTTTTGTCTTGTTAACTCTCAGTAAGTTCTCTGCAGCTTTCATGTCATAAAGACCACTCAGAATTTTGTACACTTCTATCATGTCTCCTCTATCCCTTCGATATTTCAATGATTGTAAATTTAAATATCTCATTCTGTCCTCATATGACATTTCTCTCAACCCTGGCAGAAGCTTTGTCGCCCTTCTCTGTACACTCTCTAGTAACTTGATGTCTTGTATTTGGTATGAATTCCAAATGCTAGCCCCATATTCCAGGTGTGGCCTGACTAGTGACTTGTACAATAAACAGAATGATCTTTTGTCTAGATAAGTAAAAGTTCGCCTTACAATCCCTAGGACTTTATTAGCTTTGTTCACTGCTGATTGAATGTGTTTCTTGTAGTTTAATTTACTATCCACAATAATTCCCAAGTCCTTCTCCTCACTTTCTTCCTTCAGATGAATTTTACTCCTTGTCTCCCCTGAATCGCTGTACAGATGTAGACTGCCTTTGTTAGTGTCCTTTCCTATTCTCATCCAGTGGCATTTATCTGGATGGAACCTTAAAAGCCATTTATCTGACCAACTTTGCAGACTATCTAAATCCTTCTGTAGATCTTTCCCATCCCTAATATCTGTATAAATTTTAGTGTCATCCGCAAAAAGCCAGGAGAATAATTGAACTACCTCCGGTAAGTCATTAATATAGAGAACGAAAAGTGTTGGTCCAAGTACGCTGCCCTGCGGTATACCACTAGTGACTTCCCGCCATCCAGATGTTTGACCATTTACATTCACCTGTTGTCGTCTATCTGTCAAAAACCCCTTGATCCAGTTTTGTACCCTCTCTGATATTCCATATGAAACCATCTTTCCTAATAACCTCCTATACACATGATCAAATAGATTATCTTTGTCAAATTTAAGCTTCCATTTACTTAGGCAATTCATATAAATTCCGTAATACCATATAGGCTAATGGGAAAAAACGTACAGAAACTGTGAAATACACTTCTACGCTTTGTTATATAATTACAGTGTATAAATTGTTCATAAAAAACATGAAATTAAATTGATTATATGCATCTTTCGTTTTAATCAAATGACAAACGCAAATCCTATAATGTGTTTAATTATTTACTGTATCAATTTACAAACATTTTTTTCTAAAGCAGCATCCTGGTCCCATTTGTATATTGAAATCAAATCATGCGGAAATAATAATTATATATATAAACAAAAGAAGGTTTGATATATAAACAATAAAGTTAAACAAAATAAGATTCATATAAAAAAATTTAAATACATCAGGTGAAGACAATTTTTGTATAAATAAGATACGTTCATATAAAATATACCAAAAACAATATAAAATCTATATGAAAAAACGCATAAATAATTATTTCATAAATATATAAAAATCATGCACATATAAATAAAAATGTATATTTTGAAAGCATTAGCTACACAATGTGTGCACCCAAGGCTTGGGAACACGGACCTGCTTTCTTAAGCTTCTTTTTATATCTTATTTATCGGTTCAAATTTATATGCTTTTCTGTGAAATAAGAATGATTCAATTTAAGAGTGAAAAACACTGATCTCGCTTATGAAACAAAGCACCTGATGAGGTGACGATGCTGTGATTTTTCTCTTCGAAAATACGATAATAGCAGAATTACTGATGAGATTATTCTAGCTATAAAAAATAGATAATGATAAAACATGTAGTAGTATAGATAGAGTACAGTTGTCGTAATGTTGCATTCATGTGAGGATGTGTTTAACCTTATATTAGATACTATCATAACAACAGAAAGTAGAACTACAGGATTGATCAAACCCATCTATAATAAATGTGGTCGTAAATAGCTGGATAATTACAGGGCAATTACGCTGGTCTCGTGTTTTTAAGTCTAGTTCAAATACAAGATTTTACAAATTGTGCGATGATATTACAATAACTAATGCACAACCAGGAAAACATTATCCATGGTTGACTGTCCTTTTTTGTAAGTAGTGTATATTTTCACCTTGAAACAAAGCAACTCAATATACTTTCTTTTGATATTGATATGAGGTGAAAAACATTTTTATTTCTACTTCATTCTTCCGATATCTTTGAAAATGTGTGGTCAAATTATTTTAGAACAGTTTCTTTTCCACATAATTATGTGGTACACTTGCACGAAATATATAGAGTTTGAAATATCAGTAATACGTGAAATGTACGTTACATTTTGAACACAATTTTGAAATGTTCACCAATGATTGACACTTATCTTGAAGTTCGTTGTTCTTGTTATGCATATAAGACAACATTTAACTTGTTAAAAACTTTGCTTGATTTTCTTTTTACATTCTGTGTTTTACGACAGTTCAGTACAAAGCTTTGGTATTAGAAAAGTTTCCGGTCTCGGAAAATTAGATTTCGGAACTTATTTTCAATTTCAATTAGATACGGTTTCCAAATTGATTTCGTAGTTTGAAATTGATCACAAATAATCAATATCCATTAAAAAGATTGTCGATACTGTTCCTTTTCTACCCGCGACAACTGGTTTTGTCTTAACGATACAATGGTAACGGACATTTCACATGACAAATTTCTTGAGTTTTTCCGTTTCTCTCTAATAAAATTTTCTCAAAATCTGTTGCTTTGGTGATAAAGAAATTTTGGGAATAAGTTTGATTGGGTTACAATGTATGTTTAAATAAAAATGTAAAAATACTAGCATTATCTTGCTGTAAGATTTCGCGATATTTATTTTCCCAGTTGCTTTTCATTACTGAGAATAGTAAAGGATTAAATGAAGACAAACACAACACATCATTCTTTAAAACTGTTATTATTTTGTTTTAGATATCAGCATTTTATTGATGGTATACAATGTTTTGAATTATCAAAATATGTTTTAATCATCAACATCTTAATGCGATACTATCACCACAGTACTCGCGCAATATTACACTATATACAGGTATGGCCGTTTCAACTAGGGCTGGTATTGCAGCGAGGTTGTTTTGACCATATACCAAACTAATCATGAAATGTCATAATCACGGCATAATTAAGAATCTCACGGGGAATGAAGTATCTATGGTAATGAACATTAAATTGTCCAGAAAAATGGTTGGTCTACTTGGATAAGCTTAGGATTTCACTTTTCAAGGGAGACAATCGGAATTGAGAAACGTTATTAACCTGAAAAATGATAACCGGTAGATTAAATTGTTAATATTGGTGGAAATTGTGTAAGATTTTTGTATATATGGGTAAGATAATGGTATATTTGGGTAAGATTTGGGTATTTTTGGGTGCAATTTGGCTTTATTTAGGTATATTTGGGAAAGATTTGGGTATATTTGGGAAAGATTTGGGTAGATTTGGGAAAGATTTTGGTATATTTGGGTAGATTTGGGAAAGATTTGGGTATATTTGGGTATATTTGGGAAAGATTTGGATATATTTGGTTATGATTTGGGAAAGATTTGGGTATATTTGGGAAAGATTTGGGTATATTTGGGTATATTTGGGAAAGATTTGGGTATATTTGGGTATATTTGGGTATATTTGGGAAAGATTTGGGTATACTTGGGAAAGATTTTGATATATTTGGGAAAGATTTGGGTATATTTGGTAAAGATTTTGATATATTTGGGAAATATTTGGGTAGATTTGGGAAAGATTTGGGTATATTTGGGAAAGATTTGGGTATATTTGGGAAAGATTTTGGTATATTTGGGTATATTTGGTTATGATTTGGGTATATTTGGGTATATTTGGGAAAGATTTTGGTATATTTGGGAAATATTTGGGTATATTTGGGTAGATTTGGGAAAGATTTGGGTATATTTGGGAAAGATTTTGGTATATTTGGGTATATTTGGGTAGATTTGGGAAAGATTTTGGTATATTTGGGAAAGATTTGGGAAAGATTTGGGTATATTTGGGTATATTTGGGAAAGATTTGGGTATATTTGGGTAGATTTGGGAAAGATTTGGGTATATTTGGGAAAGATTTTGGTATATTTGGGAAATATTTGGGTAGATTTGGGAAAGATTTGGTTATGATTTGGGTATATTTGGGTATATTTGGGAAAGATTTTGGTATATTTGGTTATGATTTGGGTATATTTGGGTATATTTGGTTATAATTTGGGTATATTTGGGTATATTTGGGAAAGATTTGGGTATATTTGGGTATATTTGGGAAATATTTGGGTATATTTGGGTAGATTTGGGAAAGATTTGGGTATATTTGGGAAAGATTTTGGTATATTTGGGTATATTTGGGTAGATTTGGGAAAGATTTTGGTATATTTGGGAAAGATTTGGGAAAGATTTGGGTATATTTGGGTATATTTGGGAAAGATTTGGGTATATTTGGGTAGATTTGGGAAAGATTTGGGTATATTTGGGAAAGATTTTGGTATATTTGGGAAATATTTGGGTAGATTTGGGAAAGATTTGGTTATGATTTGGGTATATTTGGGTATATTTGGGTATATTTGGGTATATTTGGGAAAGATTTTGGTATATTTGGTTATGATTTGGGTATATTTGGGTATATTTGGTTATAATTTGGGTATATTTGGGTATATTTGGGAAAGATTTGGGTATATTTGGGTAAATCGTCATGCTGTTCGTTTTTGATTTACAAATGTCTGCACGACTTCTGACAGCACTCAAAGACAGTAGCAATCAATTATTTGTGACCAAATATTTAATATATCATTGCACATCATTGAATAAGGACGAACATTATTATATCGTAAACTTTTTTAGCAATAGACGTGTACTGCTTCGATGTACAGTAAGCATGTATGTATATATGTGTGCATGGTTCACATTTGTTCACAACAAAAATAATCTTGATGAGAATGTTTTCCCAAGTACATGGACTGTGTTAGAGGCATCTCAATAATCATCCATTGTACAGGTATATAAGATATGTAATATTAGAGCTTGAACTAGACTAATTAACTGATCTCTCTGCCAGCTCCCCGTTATAAACATAAGCCCACTTGTGAGTACAAACTGCTTGTAGCTGATTAGGGGAAATTTAGTAAACAGTCAAAAGTTTCCACAATGGCCTTTTCTGTTAATTTGACCAACCCTGTATTTTTGAAGTCAACCCTTTTTCTTTTGACAATATTAAAAACAGGAAAATTTACTAGAGAAGGACTAGTTTTAGGTTTTTGACACCTTTCACTGCCTATCACTACCTCAGGAAGTCTTCTCCTCAGAGGTAACATAACTCAAATGCTCCACGACATCTCAAACTCTCCTCTAGTTTCTGTCTGCTTCTCTTTAATTACATAAATACATAGATCATAAATACCATGATCCAGGTTACAAACCTAAAAGTTGACAGTACTGGTCACCCTACTAGCCTCAGCTAGTGGGAATTTTCCGTGATACCAGTGTAAGTGTCAGTCTGGAGACGGAAAGGCCAATAGTTTGAACCCCAGAGTTAGAATGGTCTTTTTCATTATTCCTTCCTATTACAAAAAAAGCTGAAACCTTTACACTCTTTCATTGTCCCAGGTTAATGTGTGAAAACCTTTTAATGAATTTTCTATTTCCATGGTAATGATACTGGGAAGAAAATCAGAGATCAACAGCTACCAAGATTGTTTAAATAATGCTTCAAACAATTTCTTTTAAAAGGTACAAATTCACAATGTTTCTCAAATCTTACACATTCTCAATAACCAATAATTCCAGAGTTGTGTAATAAACCCTGGTACTATGTGTGTTCAAATTTCAAAGTCACCTTGACCAAATTTCAAGGTCACGGTGGTCAAACTTTTGTACAGTTGCCAAGAGTCATGATAAGGGGCATGTGGCGTGCTGTAGGACATGTGGCGTGCTGTAGGACATGTGGCATGCTGTAGGACATGTGGCATACTGGGATAAGAGCTACCAAATTTGTTCAAATGAATGATCTTCAGGTGTTGTTTCATGTGATAACAGTTGTGAAATATTTTTTTTTTTTTTTCACAAACTGAATAATCTATGATATTCGGTTATTAGCATGCTTTAATGAAGTGTTACATGATCAGCTCATATGACCTTGATGTAATTTAAGGTCATAGATGTAAGATATATTTGAAAGTCCTCACAGTCTTTATATAGACCCAAAGTCACCCAATGGGGGGGGGGGGGGGGGGGGGGGGGGGGGGGGGGGGGGGAGAGAGGTGCGCTTATTAGAGGCCATCTTAGATGTAAAAGAAACACATTCAGTACTAAAAAATCTACTGTACGGTGCTTGTATTTATAAAATCACTAGTTTTTTACATGCAATAAAACCATCTTAGATATAAATTTTTTTTTACGTTTTTCTGGAGTACATCTCCTTATAAATCGACTTAAAACAATTCTTGATTGTGACTAAAAGGTAAGTAAATCTAGACTTATAGGTATCTGAAGGGGGAGGGGGGCGCTTATAGGGACATGGGCGCTTATTGGGTCGAATACGGTATATTATTTATTGTCCTATACATTAACATCTGGATTCGGCCTGCCTGAAATACAATATGTACTACATGTGTTGAGTGAAGACAGAAACATTTACAAGAATGTATGATATTTGGGATTAAGTGAGTATGAGATTAAGTAAAATTAATGAGCACTTTTAATAATTGTGAGATTTCATAAACTGCGGAGAAGATGAGTGATATGAAGTCTCTGTATTTAGGCCTCCTGTTTTGCCATCAAGCATGGTACATGGGGATGCTCTGTGTTGTATACATATGTTTTTTTTTTTCAATAAGATTTCCTATACTTTTCACAGATGGTCTGTGAAACCTGTCCAGGAAAGGTCAAAGGTTATGATGAAGATCTCGGACCTTCTGGAATCCCGTCTGGTCGAGTTTGCAGAACTTGAATCACATGACCAGGGAAAGCCTGTTTGGTTGGCTAAGGCAGTAGACATTCCAAGGGCAGTGTACAACTTTCGCATCTTTGCATCATCCATCTTACATGATACAAACAGGTACATGTTCTTGTCTTTTAGAATTTTGGATAATGAAACATTCTTATCATTTCAAACAGGTGTTAATCTATGCAACGAAAAGATAGCTTGTTACAGTGATGGGATGTTGGTCCAATATAATTGATTAACTAATAATTTAATTTCAACTGATGTGATGGTCTGCAACAGATCTTCTGTGATGGATGCAGTAGACGCTGTTAACTACACAGTAAGAGACCCTGTAGGTGTGGCTGGTCTAATCAGTCCATGGAACTTGCCGTTGTACTTGCTGAGTTTCAAAATTGCCCCAGCGATTGCTGCCGGAAACACAGTTGTGGCCAAGCCTAGCGAGATGACATCGGTAACAGCCTGGAAACTCTGCCAGGTATTTAATGAGGCAGGTAAGAGGTCTGAAAATTGACAGCTAGTCATCCGGATATCTTTGATATAGTGCACCAAACATCACTTTTGTTTTTTTGTCACCATACAGTGACAAAATCTCAAGTGGCATGATGCAATCTTATTTTGCACGTTGCCATGCGACGTCTATCTTTAAACAATTAGCATTTTCATCTTCTTCAAAACCCCTCAACCAAAATTGATTAAATGTTATGGCAACTTTCCAGAGACAAAGATGAACCAAATTTGTAACTTATACTGTCACCACTCTCCGGGGGAGGGGGACCGAGGGGCAGGGACAAGAAGGTTCAAATTAATTGCAAAAATATTCCTCTTAAGACCAGGATGTGTTGGACTGAGGTACACTTTACAAATAGTAAGGTCTTTTGAAATGTGCAGTATTAAGATAGTGGTTTTCATCACCCAAGAAGGGCTAAAAATGACCTTGATCCACATTCAAGGTGACAAAAGTCAAATTTGCAAAATGTTTCAACTATTTCATCCAATAACTTAGCAGTTTTTTTTGCACAAGTTTTTAAAACTATAAAGAAAAGGCAAAGAATTTTAAAAACATTTTCAATCTGTGTTGACGGATTATTTTTCAAGAAAGTGCTTTATTTTAATTTTTGTATGAACCCATGATATACAATCCAGTAAAACTGATGTGGTAAGATTTTTTGGTGTTTTTTGAGGATAGCATAAGTCATTGATTGTAATAAATTTGATTGATTTCAAGTTTCAGGTTTAAGTCGCTCATCAATATACAATAGATCTATATATACACAGATTTGTTTGGTACAGGGTTACTAAAGAGAAAATCATACCTTATTTCTCTGCCAAGCCCATGTCTAGTAAAAAGCCTGCATATATAAATATATATTGATGTTCAATAAAACTAAAACTAAATGGATTTTGCTAAGCTATTTTTCGTCCTGTATCAAGCCTACAGCATGACTTTAGAGATTACTGTTTTTACAGGTGTACCCCCAGGTGTAATTAATCTGGTGTTTGGTGTGGGGCCCAAAGCAGGAGAGGCACTTGTTGTTCACCCGGACGTACCCCTGATCTCATTTACTGGAGGAACAGTGACTGCCAAAAGACTGAGGGCTTCTTCTGCTCCTTTCTGCAAGAAACTCTCTCTCGAGGTAACCATCCTAACACAGTTTCTTCTTCACAGCCGTTGTTAGGGATGAGTCTCTGGTACCTTTGATTTTATCTCTGCATCAGATTAATGCATGTAAACTAAAAAAAATGTCAATTTGATACTGGCTTTGTTAAATATTTAAACATTTAAGTTAAATCAGGGTTAAAGTATAAAGTGCAGTGGTCGTTAAGAAACCAGTGTAGTCAAATAGGCACTAGTGTAGTGTGGTCATTTATAAACCAGTGAAGTCAAATAGACACTGTGTAGTGTGGTCATTTATAAACCAGTGTAGTGAAATAAACACTGTGTAGTGTGGTCATTTAGAGACTAGTGTAGTGAAATAGACACTGTGTAGTGTGGTCATTTAGAGACCAGTGTAGTCAAATAGACACTGTGTAGTGTGGTCATTTAGAGACTAGTGTAGTCAAATAGACACTGTGTAGTGTGGTCATTTAGAGACTAGTGTTGTCGATTAAACACCAGTTTAGTGTCGTCATTTATAAAGCAGTTTAGTCACATAGACACTGGTGTAGTGTGGTCATTTAGAAACCTGTTAAGAATGACAGTTTGAAACTGGTGTAAAATGGTCAGTGTGATAAGAAATTTGTGATACGTGTTCAGTTTTAAACCTGTGCAAATTGACCTGGGCACATCTCATTGACCCATATGAACTGACCAATGTTTGAAATTACTCTTAAGGAAGCTACAAACTCCCACCTACTCCTCGCCCCTAAATTGTGAAATCCAAGATTTGTTCCCTTTGTCTTCAAGAACTCTCCTATCTGGAAATAATTTTAGAGATAAAAATTGGTTAATCTCCACATTAATGACAGTTGTCTGTAATGTTAGAAGTAAGTTGACAAGGGTACATACTTGGTCTTTCCTGATACAAAAATATATGTAAAACAATCTTTCCTAGATTAGTCAGGTTTACAGAATTTATTAGAATTAATGTTTTGTAGCTCGGAGGTAAAAATCCTGCAGTCATATTTGCTGATGCTGATATGGAGAAGTGCATCGCCACAACTATCAGGTACTAGAAAATGTCTGTAAGACATGAATGCCCCCGCCCCCCCCCCCCCCCCCCCCATGTGAAATAATAGTGAAAGGTCCGAAAGAGATGATTTTGTTAATTTGTATGCAACTATGTACAACTTAAGTTTCATACTTAAATTGACAAGTTGATTTAACGTACATGAATTTGGAATTTTGTTCTCTGGAAAAAATGAGGGAGTATATTAGTTCCTTATGCCTTAAAACCCACAAGTACCAAATTATGTAGAAATAAGATGATGTTCCTCTTTTTTGAGTTATCTCCCCTTGGTGGCCATCTTTTTTTAGAATGCCGAGAAATTCAAGACTGCATGAGGTCTTTCCATACTTGATATTTGTATGAAGTTTCATGAAAATTGCCTTCCGAATGAAGTTGTTAGGTGGTATATACTGATTTGGGACGTGACGGGACGCTACGGGACGGGACGGACGGACATGGGCAACGCTATATGCCCCCGGCCATAAATGGCGGGGGCATAAAAAAGATAATAACATTGTCAGCTTGTTTTTTTTTTCTTTGGTTTTTGCGAGTTCTCTTATTTGTTGTTTTAATTATCATAAAATATAAGGTGTAGTATTTATCCCTTGGTTTCTGCGAGTCCTTAAAAGGTAAACTTAGTAGAAAAGGTCACCTTAGAGGTGAATGTCACTGAAGAAGAAAGGTCACCTTAGGGGAAAAGATGAGCTTAGGGGAGAAGGCCACCTTAGAGGTAAATATCTCTGAAGGAGAAAGGTCACCTTAGAGATATTGTCACTGAAGGAGAAAGGTCACCTTAGGGGAAAAGGTCACCTTAGAGATATTTTCACTGAAGAAGAAAGGTCACCTTACTGGAAAAGGTCACCTTTGGGGGAAAGGTCACCTTAGTGGAAAAGGTCACCTTAGAGGAAAAGGTCACCTTAGAGATATTGTCACCGAAGGAGAAAGGTCACCTTAGAGGAAAAGGTCACCTTAGTGGAAAAGGTCACCTTTGGGGAAAAGGCCATCTTAGCAGAAAAGTTACCTGAGGGGTAACTTATAGAACAAAGATGTTGAAATATATGTTGACTTCTCTCCAGAACTGTTATAAGCCAATCATCAGTAAGGGATGTAGTATGAACCCAATGACAAGAAAAATGTTGGCATTTATATCAGGTTTTGTAAGCCAGAGTGAAATGTCTATGTGTACATTTCTGATATGTTTTTTTGAACTTGAATTAAATGAATGTGTTCATATTTTAGATCAAGTTTTGTGAACCAGGGAGAGATTTGTTTGTGTACAAGTCGTATTTTTGTGGAGAGATCTGCCTATCAAACATTCCTGAAGAAATTTGTTGAAGAAACCAAGTGAGTACCATGTTATATATGTACATTTGTAGATGAAGAAAGTAATATTTTATTGATGCAAAGGATTAATATATAAACTATAGTAAATTTTATCTACTTCCCAGCCATGGGTCAGCTTAATCATAATTTTGATGGTTCTTACATAACTGGATCTTGAGAAGAAGATTTTTGAAAGGTGGGGTCAACATTTGGCCCCCACAAAGATTTCTATAATTTTTTTTTGCCATATGAAGATACATGAAAATAACCTACAACTGCATAAATGATAAGTCATTATAACTACTCATAGTCATACTGGACCTCCTTGTATAACACCAGGTGGAGTCATTATAGCTACTTTTAGTCATACTGGACCTCCTTGTATAACACCAGGTTGGGTCACAAAGGTACCCTAACATAATGACAAATACTTGCTACATGAGAATTTTAAATGAAAATATTTATCTACCAGCCTAAAGTACATAAAATTTATTTTGATACCACATATGTTATATTGGCATAAAAAATGTAAGCATATTGATAACTTTGATTTTAAAAGAATGCTAAATTTTCACAAAATAATGAATATATCAAAGTCAATTTTGTATAGTTGCAATCTCAGTCTAAATTTTATACTTCTTTAAAAACTTTCTATGTATATATGCTGTCTATTGAATAAATTTTAATTGATTTCAAAACTGGTAAAATACATTTTTAGCAATTTAAACATGCTTATTGCATAATTTGCCATAATCATGAAGATTTTGCAAAGTATCGATAGACAGTTACATAGACAAAGTCACACTTATGTCAGAAATTCTGTATTAAATTCGAATTACTGCAAATCTCCCATCAACTTTATTAATAATCATGTCAGAAGTGTGCATAGGTCATGGTTGCAAAACTATGTTGAAAGATATACATGTATTTCAAGGAGCCCGAGCTCAAGTAAGACATGTATATTTACCCAAGTGTAACTGGCTGCACCAGCTGCTAACTGCTGAGATCATTAGCATAACAAAAGAAAGCATATTATGTGGAAAGTGCTACAAGTGGTACCTCAAGCGAAGGCCATTTCAGTCTGAATTGTATGAACCTTCTGGTATGAGCACTCCAAATGGCTTGGCAAATGATGCAAATGATGCTTACACTGATTTCATGTCATCCAACCAACTACCGCTAATCTCTGTTGAGAAATTATTTTATGGTGGCAATTCACATAAAAGATTGTCATATGTGGAAACGAGGGCACTGGGCTATGTACTATACCCTAGCATGCCAGGACAAACTTGAGATTTTTCCATCTTCTTTTTTTTTTTTTTTTTGATGAAAGATTTTAATGCCCCAGAAACTTAATTAATGAGGGTCTGCCAGGGTTGGGGCCCTGGGGTCAGACTCTGTACAAACATGTTGTCCTCTCACAGGAGGGCTATCTATCATCACACACACTATCACTACATACATTTCACTTACACAGCCTTTCACACTCATTTTATTACAATGGCTATGGAATGAAATCTGGATAGGAATAAATACCTGTTAGTTTTACCTTACTTGTACCTCATTCATTCCCTTACACTCACTCATCATTGCTCATTACAGTTACTAATTCATTTTCTCACTCACACTTCACAGTCTTCCAACCATTCCCTGATATACAATGTACTGGCAACGCCATTGGAAATTAATATATTAAATTCTTTAGATTAGAAAATGAATAAAGTGAGCTGACTGCATATGGATTGGATTAGAGCCCCCTCTGACACAGATCATATATAAACAGCTAATTAAATCTTTTACATTGCATTGCATAGCCCTTTCATATTTATTTACAGTGTGTAAATAAAAATAATAAATGAACACATAATCTTAAAAATTTTAACGTGTACGTTCTTGTACACAATGCATGAAATTGATGTATGGGGAGAGTTCTCTTACATTACGGATTATTTGTTTTAATTGTTTAGAATTATTGTGAATATCCCCCACTTATTTTGAAATTTTGATTCTAAATTATGTTTTTTTGCAATATATTTTTCTACTTTCAAAACCTGAGTGAAATACAGTTTACATGCTTGGAAGGATGGTAGTTTATTTTTAAATTTACATGAATAAATGTGAAATTTCAACATTAAGAGGAAGTGGTTTAATCTTTGACTAAAGTTTGCATTACCAAATATTACATCAGTGGCATTTACTACAAGGTCATTCTGGGTATTATCATTTTCAGAGTACCACATAATAAATTCTTCTAATAATTCATTTGTATAATAACAATAGTATAGAATGTGTTCCACTGTTTCTTCCTCTCTATTGCAGAATGAACATAAATTATCTTGTTCTATATCGATTTTAAATAAAAAGGACTTAGTAGGTAAAATTCTGTGATGTATCTTATACTGAAAGGCCTGTAGTTTAGTTTCTCTAGTATATTGAAAAACAGAAGCATAAGTATCAAATATGAAATTTTCCCTTAGATCTAATTTGGCTTTCCATTTATCCTGACTCGTGAATGGATTAATAAACTTTTTATCCAAGAAGATTTTTTAAATAAATTTCAAGCATGGAGAGGTCTTTATTTTATGAATTACATTGGTAGTTTCACACAATTCTATATTTTCCCCCAAAAAACTCCTTCTTCGATATTCATCTTTCTACCTCTAATTAATTTTGTTTACAAGAGAATAAAATTGCAAAAATCCTAAATTTGGAATATCCTGAACATCCTGATATCTTTTTAAATTACCATTCTGAAAAAGATCCTTTATTTTACTAAAGCCAAACCGTTTCCAGCTGATACCCAGGTACATTTTGTTGTGTGGTAGTAGGTTAATTAAATCTTCATTTAAATATTCTTCTAGACTATGAGACTCATTTTGGATCTCTGCTAAGGCAAATATGACATCTTTCCAAAACTTGTTCTTAATATGTTTTCCTATATTTTCAAGAGAGTGTGAGTTCAGCTGAAAAGCAATGTTCGGATCAAGTTTCAAAATATCTGGAACTAAAGTTTTCCATGGTACTGATTCATTTTCCAGTAATCTTTTTAACCATTTCAATTTCAAGTGTTTGATAAAAGAAATAATATGAGTCATTTTTAGGCCTCCAACTTCAAGCAAACCAATCAAAGTATCTCTCTTAATTTTTTCAACTTTATAATTCCATATAAACTTGTACAGTATGCTATTAAGCTGAGTTAAAATTTTTGATGACGGGTTTGGGATCGTGCTGAAGATATGTACATATGTCGGGAATGATTATTGATTTTACCACTGTTATTCTGCCAAGTAAAGAAAGATCTCTTTTGGTCCAGAATTTCAATTTACATTCAGTGTCTTTTAATTTATTAGAACAGTTCAATCTTTCCAATCTTCCAAGAGAGAAAACTATTCCTAACAGTTTGAAGTTCCTTGTAGACCATGACAGGTTAAGATCTTCACAGATTTTTTGTTCTGAAAACTTTTTGCTACCTAACCAATAAACATTAGATTTTAAAACATTAATTTTCAGACCTGATATGACAGCAAATAACCTTATTACTTCAACAGTTGCATACAATGATTGACTTGAGCCATCTAGTAAAAGATATGCATCATCTGCATACTGACCTAGGAGGAAAGTTTTACCACCTATCTGTAGAGGTTTAACATCAGGATTAGTTTTTAGAGATATAGATAAAATTTCAACACCTATAATAAAAATATATGGTGACAATGGGTCGCCTTGGCGACAACCACGGTGAAGACTGAAGAAGTTTGACAGATGACCATTATTAATTACACAACTTTTTGAATCCTTATATAAAACTCTAAACCATTTTCTAATAGATTCCTTGAAATTAAAACTTTCCATGGCCTTATCAATGAAATCCCATTCTATCGAATCAAATGCTTTTTCGAAATCAATTAGATACAATAGTCCAGGCTTATTTTTTTCTTCCAAGAGCTGCATTAAATCATAAAGTTGTCTAGTGTTTTCCCCAATAAACCTACCCTTAATGAACCCAGTTTGAGTATTGCTAATGATATCCGGTAATAATGGCTTAATCCTATTTGTGATTGCAGCAGCTGCTATTTTATAATCAACATTTAGTAACGATATGGGTCTCCAATTTTTTATACACCTTCTATCCCTTCCCTCTTTTGGCAAGCATGTAATAATACCTTGACATTGAAAGTCTGAGAGTTTCCCATTTTCATATGCATAATTTACTGACCTACAAAGCAGAGTTCCTAAATCACGCCAAAAAAATTTGTAAAATTCTGCCCCAAACCCATCTGACCCTGGACTCTTCCCATTATCCATGTGTTTAAGAGCTTTTGCCAATTCATCTAAATTCAGTAATCCCTCACAACTCCTTTTCTGTCCTTCATTCAACTTAACTGTATGATTTAAAAAATCTGAGTTATCAATACCCTGTGGCCCTCTGTCAGATTTGTATAGATCACCGAAAAAGTTTGCCTCCTCCTGTAAAATATCTTCCACATCATCAAGAACATTACCGGACTCTGTAATTAGTTCAGAAATAGTTTTGTTAATGTAATTTCTTTTTTCTAAATTGCAAAAGTAATTAGTATTTTTCTCACCATCTTCATACCATGATGCTTTAGATCTGAACATAACACCCTTTATCTTATCCCTACGAATTTCTTCCAATGTCTGTTTTTTGTTTTCCAATTCTGTACGAGAGTCTGTAGAGGGGTATTTATTAATAATTTCTTCTAATTTGATAATATCACTCACTAGAGCTTTCTCCTGTCTTTTTCTATGCTCAACCTTATTTACATAGAAAGAAATAGTTAGTGTACGTATTTTCATTTTTAATATTTCAAATAATAATTGGTCATTTATCCGAAAAGTGGTGAACTCAAGATTCTGTTTGTCCCCAGTTGTGATGTACTCATCTATAGTTTCACTAATACAGTTTTTAACCTGCCTGACATATTCTGCTTCCCCTAACAGTTTGATGTTGTGCTTCCAATATCCCCTTCCCCTTTGTATATTGTCTAGATTTAGTTCTA